TGCGAGTTATTTTTTTTTCTACTTTTATTTTCTTCACTTCAAAAAACCCTCTACTCGAATTCGAACGACTGCTATTCTGTACTCAAAACCGAACGGATATTTCGGAATTCTGGTTTTGTTTACTAAATAAATATACACTGGTGGCCAAAACTAAAGCAACTGAAATTACAAGGAGAATGAATGCCCTGTAACTTTTTCAAAAATTAAGAAAATGAGAAAGTTTTTCTTGTTTTAAATTAGGTACTTTATTCACTTTTTAAAAACCTAAAACATAAAACCAAAATTCATTTTTATATAAAAAATTATGTTTGGTAAAGTCAGTTAACCCGATTTTGGCTTGGACAAAACAAAAGCAACTCTGTTGTACATTCATATAACCGCTGCAATTTCAGTGGGTTTTACTGTGATATTTATCGCTTTTTGCTTCCTTCGACAATTTCGCTTGTCATAAATCCTTTTTGAGAAGTTTTTAACAACAGTATATGTTTTTCTTTTCGTTTTTTAAGTACTGCCAAAAAAAATTTAAAAATGGCTAGAAACAAATACTGTACCTGAATAAAACAGCAAATTATCAGTGATTATCAAAACAACATATCACAGAAAATGATTTCCGAGAAATATTTCATAAATATTTATGTGATTTCATAATTATGTCTGTGCACTAAGTCGGTTTTTTGAAACTGGATCAGTAGTAACAGTCCATAACGGATGAAGGCCGTGAAGAACTGCAGCCCATACTGATCCACAAATTGTGAGAGAAATAAAAAACAACTATTTAAGAGTTCAACAGGATTGGTGAGAGAGCAATCATTGGATATAAGCTCGAGATCAGTGCGTAGACGAGTAGTGGCAGCTGGTCTGCGTGCCCGTAAGACATCAAAAAACCATTTATATCTGAAAAAATCAAAAAGGCTTTCGGAAACGATAATATTAAGTGGAATCAAGCTCAATGGAAAAAACATTATTTCTGGGATGAGTCTACGTTTAATATTAAAGGCTCAGACGTGAAAAATTTTACGGTGAGAAGACCAAAAAATGAAGGACTCAAGCCGCAGTGTTGCAAAGGTACAGTGAAGCATGGGGGAGGGTCAAAAATGGCGTGGCGCTATTTTTCTTTCTATGGACTTGGGTCTATCCATAAAATAAAGGAAGTTGTGGATCCGTTTGTTTACAAAGATGTGTTGGACATCACGTTGTTCCCTTACGCTGAGTAAAATATTGGGCTGATTTGTGTGTTTCAGCATGACAATGATCCCAAACTTGTATCAAAACTTGTCAAATATTGGTTGCGGGAGTCAAAAATTCATGTTTTGTTATGACCGGCATAATCACCTGACCTAAACTCCTTAGAAAGCCTTTGGAGTATCGTAGATAGGAAGATCAAGAGAGATTCGGAAATAAATAAGCACAACATTTTCTAAAGAATTCGGGGTGCCTGGGAAAGCACACCCAAGGATCAAATTGAGCGTGTTATAGATTCAATGACTCGTAGGTGTGCAGCTGCTATCAAAAATACTGGTTATGCTATCGACTACTAGCCAAAATTTAATTATTTTAAAATAAAAAATCAAAAGTTGCTTTAGTTTTGACCAAGCAAAAATTGGGTCATTTTAGTTTTCCACATATTATTTTTCGTTCAAACTTATTTTTGTATTTTTATTTTTAGTTTCTTGAAAGTGAATTACGATTTGTTTATTTTTGTAAAAGTTACAGGACATTTATTGTCTTTGCGATTTAAGTTGCTTTAGTTTTGGCCACCGGTGTATATCAAAAATCGTTAGGTTATAGCTCTCTAACTTGCTCTTGCAATCGCCAAAACGTTATGAACTCTGGATTATGATTTGAATTTGATAAATTCAAAATGAGACAATTGGAACATATTGAACTATTTTTTATTGCCGTTATAACCTCAATTTATGTGTCGTCTGATAACGTTTTGAAATCATACTACTCGAAGATATATAGTTATGCAAATTGAAAAGTTCCGACTCTCAGCCAGATATTTCTGTCGTAGTCGAGGTCGGAGGATGTGTCTTAAGGAAGACGTGGAAATTGTATATTGTGTTCATTTGAGCCAATGACAATTTTTTCCACTTATGCATAGACTAAGGGACTTCATTGTTAGTTCTGGTAGAAGAAACTGACAATGACTCCGGAACCCCAAGGAATGCACCTTTTTTGTCATAATTCGTTTTTATTCAATAAAAATTCCTATCAATGACAATACACCAATTATAACGAACGTCATGCTTTTCCATAGAGTTTTGTAATGTAATTTGTCATTTGCTTTAAAATTGGTGTCGGCGATCACCTTTGATTTAAGGATAATTTATTTTAAGATAACATGAAAAAATATGGTCAATGGAGGCACGATCTGTAGACTATCGTTTACGGGGAAGCAAGTAATGGATTTTTGCTAATCAACTATTCTTTATTTTTGTATCAAAACTGAAGTTACAGTACCTGCTAATTTTAATGCTCTCGTAGTTTACAGTACTTTTTTGGTGCACACTTTTCCAGGTCCTAACTTAGCATACCTCTGACCGTTTATTAACTTCACACAGTGTCCTGAAACTCATCTTGTGGCCAATTTATTTGCTGCAATTGTATTTTCCCTTAAACAGCTGTAAAAGTTTAATTTTTTTTTAATGTTAAGGCCTACTAAAGATTATATGAATTTCATGCAGCGCCATCTTTTTTCGGACCGGAAATTTTTTGATTGTCTTATTATGCCCATTTCTACATTTTCACTAGGCTTAATATTTTAAATCTTCGTTGTATACATACAGCTTATTAGAAGCGCCATCTATGTCTCGTACCGTCCCGTATCTATTAGATCCATTCCTATTCTTTCCCAGGCCCATTTCAGTTGTCTAATATTTAAAGTCTACATTATTTGAATTCAGTTCAATTCCAAATGTCTGCTAAAAATTATACCGATTTCTTACTGGTAGCACTATGTGTATGTCGATTCGGAGACATTTCAATTAACATATTACATAATTCCTTATCATTTTCTTAGGCTGATTTTAGTTGCCTTTCTTAAGTCTACGTTGTGTAAATGCAGTCCATTTTCAAAAGCCTACTAAAATGCATACGGATCTCAATCTAATATAGCCATCTATGAGTCAGACATATCAATTAACCTATTATTTCCCTTATCCTCTCCCAGGCCGATTTCATTTAGCTAACATTTAAAGTCTACATTGTAGAACTCAAGTCAATTCCAGAGGCCCACTAAAAATTATATGGATTTCATTGCAAAGGCGCCATCTGTTTGTCGATACGGAGACTTGTTCACTAATCTAGTACATCCTTCCTTATCCTTTCCCAGGCGTATTTCAGTTGTCTTACATTTTTAATCTATGTTGGAAAAATGCAATTCAATTCCAGAAGTCCACTAAAGTCATCCGGAGTTCTTTCCATATATCTATATTTCCGTATATCTATATGTATAGCTTCTCAAGTCCTTTTTTAATTGCAAGTTAATTCCAGAGTCCCACAAAAAACATCTAAATTTAATTCTAGTAGTGACATCTGTTTATCGAACTGAAGAACTGAAGACTTTTCAATAAACCTATTAAATCCATATATTATGTTTATATTTTACCCATATATTATATTTTATTTTATTCTGGAAAGCGCCCAAAAATACACCCTGAAAATGCAAAAATAAATGTGGAAAAATATATATGTGTAATCTGGCCTTATACACATCTTTTATCAAATATCTTCAACACTAATTTTATGCAGTTTATATAACTGTAAATCTAAATTCAATTCAGTCCTGAAAATCAAAATAAAATATTAAAATTGATTTCCGTGAGTTTTCTGTCTTCTGCTCATTCCACTTGTATTACACTAAATGTCATTTCATTTATTCAATATGTCTCCGGCCAATCATTCTTTATGCTCTTCAAATATCGATGAAAAGATATCTCCGTGAACACCTGTCAGTATTGGCAAAATCAATTAAATTTTTTATTCTAGACAATAATATCACATCGATGACGATGATGATTCTTTTTGGTTTTCGAATAAAAGTTATATTCCGCCACCAATCACCCATAAATTCTCTACAGAAACAGATAAATGTATTTATGTGTGTATGAATGAATTCAGGCAGGTGTGCATTTTGATGGAGGCCCAGTCGTATGGAAGAGAGCTGAATTTGCTATTGAATGAATGATGGATGAATATATGCAGATGTTTTCACACGCAAGTTATTGAGATTTTTGGTTTTATTTGATTTTTTTGTCATTTTTCTGAATTCAATTCAGGAAAAAGATATAACAAAAAAATCCCTGCACTCAAAAACATAGTTGTTACATAAAATGCAACAGTGGCAAGTGCAAGCAAATAAAAGAACTCAGCATACCAGCTCTTCTTCTCTCCTACAAATCAATGAAAAAAACCAGCACACTCACACACACAAACCAAACCCCAATCGAATGATGGTCAGCATGTCCAACGAAAAAAAATCAATAATTCACACAAAAAGCAAAAAATATAAATAAAATCGCTCAGTGAAGTATTTATAATAAATTCTTTACTTTCCACACCAACAGTGTAAAAAGTAATAAATAAATGCCATAATGTATGCAAGCAGTGAATGGTGGGCCATATGAAGAGATGGAGGGCGGATGCATTGAAAATTAATAAAGATATTTTTCCAGTATTTAAGAGCAAATATTATTTCCTACTGCCATTTTTGTTCTTTTCTTATTTTGCATATGACCAGCCAAGGCAGTTGTGTATGAGTGAATATCGAAAAATATATACATCCGAGCAATTTGCTTGGCATTTTTTATGCCAGCAAGTAATGATTTATTAAATCCTTATTAATTTCCGAAAAGAATGCCAACAACTTTCTCGCATAATGTGTACAAACTGTTGTTGTTATTTTCATTTTTTTTCTTAATAAAATTCCTTTTATTGCCATTGTTGTTGTTATTGATTCATTATTACATATTTTTTGTGTTTTTGTTTCTTTTTTACAGGTTGTTGAATTAATTGATGCTGCAGCCATTAACTCTACCGCCGTAAGATTGGATTGGGTTATGCATGTAAGCGTAACCGAGAAATATGTTGAGGTATGTATACGCTGGTTTGGTTGACTACCAGACTTGCCAGGAAAAAAAAACAACTTTTTCTCATTAAAAATTTTCTGCGCCAAGTCATTTACAATAATGAGTTAATTATATGTAAAATTTTCTTCTCTGCTGCCTACTTTCAGGGTCTATATATACGCTATCGTGATGTTAGTGCCAACTCCCAGCAATACAATATTCTGACCGTATTGAATCCTTCAATTGAGTCACATGTGGTTGGTAATTTAAAGGAATACACCAAATATGAATTCTTTTTGGCGCCATTCTTTCAAACTCTGGAGGGTCAGCCGAGCAATTCGAAAATTGTCCAGACCTATGAAGATGGTAAGTTAAGTAACAATAAGTGGCAAAGTGTTGAATGGTATTTACGGCTGGAAGGGCTTTTATGGGTATTTAAAGGGGAAAGGATAAATATCAATGAATAAAACACATTCAGGAAAACTTGTGTAGATGGAAGATCTTTAGTAGTTATTAAAAAGACAGAAGACCAATATATGGCCAACTATGGCACAGAGACTCTCAAAAGACGTTCTAGAAGCCCAATTTCTTCAAGAATTTCTAAATGGACCGTAGACCTCTAAAAGGTCTTCTGTAAACCAACTTATATTCTTCTATAGATCTTCAACGTGTCGGTCTTCTTTTGATAGGGGAAGGTCTTCCATAGACCGACCAAAGTGTCTTTTTCTCTAGTTTTCTTTTGCAGATCGAGGACTTAAAATTGTTTCCTAAAGGATAAATAGTTTTTAACGCTTTTCTACTGACTGGTGCTTAAAATATTTATTCTAGACAGAAGAGCTTAAAATAATATTAAATAGCGATACAAGTGTTTTGGGAAGTCTCCCAAAGCCTTCCAAAGATCTTATTAAAACATGCTATTTAAGCATAGTATGGATGGATGGCTTTTCTCTCGATAGATTGATTTTCTATGAATAGGAGACCTTCAAAAAGTATTTTTCTAAGGCAGAAAATATTCAAAAGATATTTCCGGACAGAAGACCTTTGGATGGAATTCTTTGCAAATAAGACCTTCAAAAGGTATTCTAAAGAAAGAAGATAGATAATGACTTTCTATTTACAAAAGACCTTCAAAAGGCCTTTTATGGAAAGATTGCTTTCTGAAAGTGTTCTATGGATAAGAGACCTCTTCGCGGTCTTCCCAAGTTCTGGAAATCGTCCTAGATAGAAAATCCATACCTAGAATAACTTTAAGACACACAAATAGAGTATTAGGAAAGGTACTTTAATAAACAGAGGATATTCTGAGGTTCTTCTATATATAAAAGAAATTGAAAATTACTTCCGTGAAAGGAAGATATTCCATAAAAAAATATGGATATAAATCTTTGGAAGGTTTTCTAGGTATAGAATCTGGTTGAATCATCGTCTAGCAACAAATACTAAGAAACTGACACTACATCCAGGCCATATTAAAGTCTTCTAAAGATATAAACTCTCCAAAAAGAGATCCCAAAAAAGGCCTGCAGAAATCAAGGAAAGAACCCTTTAAAAAGTAATTTTTAATGGGAAATATTCTAAAGGTCTCCTGTGTAGAGAATAACTTCAGAGGGTATTCTAGGCATATATTTCGATTGGAAGCTCTACCAGGTTCGGATGACGTATACAAGCCCTTATGAGATCTTTTAAAGGTCCTCTATATTGAAAAGATTCAAAACTTCTTTTATGTTGTTTATATGTAGAACACCCTCAAAGTGTCTTTATTGAGAGTAGACGTTCAAATGAGCTTCCATGGATAATTATTCTTCAGAAGGTCTAAAACGTTTTTAAAAACTGCCGACAGAAGTTATTCGAAGTGTTCTCAAAAATCTCCTTAAAGGCTAGATTACACATCATGTTGGAGTAATGTATAGGGTCTTTTTCACATTTTATATTTTTACATTTTTGTAGCATACTTCTAAGCGTTCCCATTGATTTTTAAACTTATAAGGTAAAAATTAAGCATTGACGCAGAATTAAGCATATCCAGCTCTGCATTTTCTTTAATTTTCCTTGTTAAATTTTGGCTGAATATAAAATAGTTTTCCATCTCTGGTTAGTGTGTACAATACCTATATATTTAAAAAATGAGAAGTTGTCAAATTTAGAAGTATGAAAAAAAATTTTAACATATGATTTTTCGAGGTTACCTTCTTAATTCAAGCATGGGAATCATATATTATACATATGATATATTTATATTGTTCTTGTACTAAAAATATATTTTTTTCTAAATTTTGAAGTTTTTTAGTGTAAAGATTATGATGAGCGCCTGAAACTATGCTATAAAATGCCAAAAAATATATAGAAAAGTCACGTTACATTTTTTTCACTTTTCACATTGTTTTTCTAAATTGTGAAGTCTTTAATGTAAAGATGAGCGGCGAGCTTTTTTCATATAGAACCTCTTAAAAAAATGTTACCTACCTCTCCTACATTCCCTAGCCCCGAGTCCTTTTTTTTTTTTTTTTTTTTTTTCGGTTCGCTGTTCCTTTGAAAAGTTATCGTTGCGGTTGGTTGCTTCGCTCAGCTTGTTAGTACATCCCTATTGTGAACTTTTTTGATCGGTTATGTTTATGCCACGGGTAATATCTACGTGTTACTATGACGTTTTAACATGTCCTTTGGCAATTTTAAAATAAAAAAACTTTTTGTTCTTTCCAAGCGCAACATTGGAGCTTTTTCTGCATTTTGGTTGCTTGGCAATAGCGGGACGATGTATATTTTATGTTGTGGATCATAACGATGTAGGAGAATACAATACAAAGTCCATGCCATATGAATACACTCATACATTTATTAGGGTGGGGAAGATGAATCATTGAAGATGAATTTTTTTTGAAGCTGTAGTGCACAATTAATTTGCGGATAAATCTGAGCTTTAAAGTACCATTATATTGGAAAAAGCGGTTATAAAGGTTAGGGACTCGAGGATAGCTCGGTGGTTTAAATTGCCATTAAATTGTAGAAAAAGGAAATCAAGGTTAGGAACTCGAGATAATGTGGCCATAAATGACCATTTGAAGATTTACTTCAAAATGAATTTCACAATAGATTCGTGTTGAAAAATGTCATCAAAATTGAGAAAAAAAAGCCATCAAGTTTAAGAACTCCACACGGTCGAATCACGACTCGCTCCATAACTTATGCCCCCCAAAATTATAGTCATCTCATCCTTGTTTTGAAATTTTCCCTTGAATATAAAAAATTTTATCCCCTGCGGTTTTGAATAATATTTTGGGTAGAAAAAAAACTTTTCTATGGTTTCAAATATGGGAGTTTTTAATAAATTTATTTTTATTTGTTTTTTGTTGTGGTGTCAGGATTTAAAACTTTTTCCATACACTTAATATTCAGTGTTAGTAAACAAAATGTTATTTATTTATTGAAATTCATTGGCACGAGCACCAACATCCCCACCTCATCTAGAGATATTTTGAAAGGTGGTATTGTGGAAAATTTCAAATGTGGTTACATTTTGCAACAATTCGTTGAAAATTTTATTAATAATTATAAAATATGTTTGCTGTTGCTACTTTTTCAGTCGCATTGTTTAGCTAAACCGCAGCAAGTTTTATTACGTATGCCGCTGGCAATGGCAAATACGATGCTTTTTGCTAGGTTTTTAAATTAGCTTAAATTTGAAGTGAAATTTATAGAATCAACTATTAAGATGATTTAAAATTTATTAAATACATGCAGACATTTTATTTTCTTATGAACCTGAAGTCGTAGAAAAGTCTTCTTTAAATTTAATAAATAAATTTTTTTAAATATTTTTTGAAAAAATTAAATCTGCAGAGGTTTTTCCACATTTATATTTAGAGTTTTTGTAACATATTTTAAAACTCTCCCAACAATTACTATACTATATTAGACAATACTTCACCATTTTTATATATATTTTGATAAGTTGTAGGGAGTTCCTAAAAGTATGCTAAAAATGTTTGATTGAAATGTTAAAAAGTTACTTTACGTATGACTCTAACATGATGTGTAGGCTAGGCTTTATTATGTCCAACAAGGAATATAAAGGCTGACTTTCCATTGAACGATTTATGATTAACAAGAAAAAATGAAGCCGGGCCGAACTTTTTCCTTTCGAATGGTGGAGGGTATACAATTCGAAAGGAACTTGAAATTTTCAAAAAAAAAAAAAAACTAATTGATATGTAATTTTTTGAATATGTTGTAGTAACTATTCCGAACTTCAAATGTGAAATTTGACGCAATTCCGGTGAAAAATGTCGCTAATATCATCAAAATATCGAATGAAGGATGGGACCGTTTTGTGTCCGTCTGTTGTAATCACGCTACGGTAAAAACGAATTAAGATAGGAAGAGGAAATTTTGCACAGATCTGTATTTTGTCTGCAGGCAGGTTAAGTTCGAAGATGGGCTTAATCGGTCCACGATATCGTATATCCCTCATATAATAATGGCACCTCCCGATATTCGGTGATTTTGATGATTTTAGCCACATTTTCAATGGAATTGTCTGAAAATCCACACAAGGAGTTCCCGATATTCGGTATTTTGATGATTTTAGCCACATTTTCAACGGAATTGTCTGAAAATCCACACAAGGAGTTCCTTGTGATTACGTTATCCCCTGGAAGAGAATTATCTATACCGGTCCACGATATCGTATAGATCTCATAAAACGGTACACCCCGATATTCGGTATTTTAATGATTTTAGTCACATTTGTTAATGGAATTGTCTTAAAATCCACAATAGGAGTTCCTTGTGGGTACAATACCCCTGAAAGAAAATATAACGATATCGTATATGCCCCATGTAACGGTACCTCCCGATATTCGTTATTTTGATGATTTTTGTTATTCACCAGATTTTTTTCAAATGTCGTATATAAACTTCGGAACAGTTACTACAACCTATGACAAAAATTACTTATGCAGAACCACTTCTTCGTATTGCCCCCATATAACGGTTTTCATTTGAGCGGTATTTACCGACGGATTTTTTTTAATTTTCAAATTTCTTCCAAATGGTGGATTGTATAAAAAGTTCTTTTTTATTTTTTTTTTTTAAATTCACATGACATTTATTCATTGCTGAGAAATAAGTAACCGTGCCCGAGAACGGGCAAACTTTCTTTGGAAATAAATTTGTTTGCTGGGATGTCATACATTTATTTATATTATTTCTTCCATCTACGATTTTTTATAAAAATGTCTATTTATTTGTATCTTCCTCTCAAATGTTTCTAACCGGCAGTTTTCCTCTGAAAAGTTTGTTTTCTAATTTTTTGTATTTTCCCTTATTTTCTTTTGCAGTACCCTCAGCACCACCTGACAACATACAAATTGGCATGTATAATCTAACAGCTGGCTGGGTGAGATGGTCCTCTCCGCCGCCCCAGCATCACAATGGCATCTTGTTGGGCTACAAAATTGAGGTAAGTCACGACTTTTTGTTATATTTTTTTTTCAAGTCCTTTTTCTGCCGTTTTTGTCCCCCATGGGAGCTAGGATAGAGAAGGCCTAGACAACCGCCAGCATACATAATTAATAGTTTTGTTTTCGATGCCGGTGTTCAACATCAGAGTGAGAGGCTTTGCGGGATTTTTTTTGTGGAAATTTACCAACAGAAATAAATAAAAGATGTCTGAACTTTCTCTGGGTTCCTCGGCAAAAAGGGATACAATTTATGAATTCGTGTATGTGTATGTGGGCACCTTTCATGTAAATATTTTATATATTCATGATGGTTGTTGTACATATGTAAATGCCATGATTTTTCGTGATATTTTTTCCTTTGCTACCTTTTTATTTATTTATATTTTTTCTTCTATTGATACACAGGTAACAGCTGGCAATACCTTGAAAGTTTTGGCCAACATGACTTTGAATGCCACCACCACATCGGTGTTACTCAACAATTTGACAACTGGTGCTACCTATAATGTACGCCTGAATTCCTTTACCAAGGCTGGAGAGGGTCCCTACTCGTTACCGGTAAGTAATGGCAGAAAGAAATTTTGAATCTTCAAATTATGGGACTTAAATCGAATATCCTGTGGATGTTAAAGAAATGATTTGGTAGTTTATTTACCCCTTGTGAAGTTGAAGCCAAGTTGAATTTAAAACCTAATGTACAGCTGTAATGACTTGCAATTTTTTTTTTTAATCTGTACCAATTGATTTTTTTTAAATTGAGTTGAACTCCCTGAAAGTTCAATTCCCTCGACCCTTCACTTGTTTGCAATTTATTTTGTGCCTAATTAATAACATTTTCCCTTCCATTCCATTCATTATCCCCTTTTTTAGGTCTCATTATTCATGGATCCGGCCCACTTGGTGCATCCGCCACGTGCCCATCCTAGTGGCTCGCACAGCAGTGTAACTGGACACACCGGCGGTGTGGGAGGGGAAGGTGGTCATTATGCCTATCATCCCAATGGGGTGGCCGGCATGCCTGATGATGCGGCCACAACAACCACTCAACGCAAATCAACAACGGTGGTCCATGAAACCTGGTTTATGGCACTTGTCATAACAATGCTATTGGCCATATTAGTATCAGCTGCAGCTGCAATGCTATTCTTCAAGAGGCGCCATCAGCTAACAAAGGAACTGGGGCATTTGAGTGGTGAGTACTACACTTTTGAAGAGGGGCGGGCATTATTTGCATTAGTATTATTTTAATTGTTTATTGCATAAAGGGATAAAGGAAATTAAATTAAAATAAATTTTATTCATGGCTGGTTGGCTTGCAAAGGAGCTTTTTTTGTTGGGGAACCATAAGCATACTTTTTTTAGATTTTGAATTCAAATTCAACTCCATAAACTTTTTCAGTTCATTTTTCATTACAAATTTAAAATTTTAAACCCTAACTTCCTCTCACAAGAGCTATTAAAATCAATCATTTAGTAGAAAGTAATTAATTTCTGAGGACTAGCAGAAAAAAAACTGCCAAACGAACAAGAGCTTTAGCTGGAGAATCCTCTAGACTTTTTGACACTCTAATGACTTCCTTTATGGCTTTCCCATTTCAATGAAAGCCAAACGAAAAGGACACTCCAGGCTAGAGTTGAATCAAAATCAAACATGAAATCCTTAATTAACTTCAACAACAATCGAACTCAGCTGTCGGAGCAGAAGAGGATCAGAATCAGCAAGGCAACAACAGCAAAAAAGCGAAACTTACTAAATTACACACTTGCCTGATAAAAGACAAGAGCAAAAATTGACAGTATTGATTACTTAAGAAGTGGAGAGAAAAAATGAACACAAAAAAATCCTTTTAAATATATACACAGACACAGATAGCTGTCTGCCTCATTTATATTGACTCTTAAACTAATCTCTGTAAACTTTTTTTCTATTCTTCTTTTTTTTTTTTTCTTTCTTTCATGTTCATTTTGTATTCTTCTGCAATTGCCATTTTCCTGGATTTGTGGTCATTTTGTTGTTTTTTTTTTTTCTCTTTACTGCCGAGCCATTCACATTTGGCTTTAACAGTAGTCAGTGCCAATGAGATAACCGCCTTGAATATTAATGGCAAGGATAGTTTATGGATAGACCGCGGTTGGCGCACCACCGATACCGACAAAGATTCCGGCTTGAGCGAAACCAAATTGCTTTCCAATACAAATAGCCAATCGAATTACAATACATCAGATGGTGGCACAGATTATGCCGAAGTGGATACAAGGAACATGAGCACGTTCTACAATTGTCGAAAGGTATTGTATATGCAGAAAATAAAAAAAATTGAAGAAAGAGAATCGATTTTTCATATTTTCCCATATTTTTGTTTCTTCTCATCCAAAGAGTCCTGAAAATCCCACACCTTATGCCACAACCATGATAATTGGTGCCTCTTCCACGGAAACAACATGCATGAAGACATCGGGCTCGAGCACAGATCAAGATTCAGGTACGCATTCTCCAAATTCGGAGGGTATCAATCCCCATTGTGGTGGTCCCAATGGTCCAGCTGGAAAACATAATTATCATCAATATCCACCAGGTGAGTAAAAGTCGTAAATTTAGATTTTATTTACATTTTCATCATCAATTCATTTCATTTCCTTTTTCCATCCTTTATTTCACTTATTTTACGTGGCAAAGGAAAATAAAAAGTTTTCAAATAGACCAAGTCGATATCAACTCATCTCTCATAGAAGAGCACTTAATCTTCTCTCATAGAGGAGTACTTGGTCTTCTCTCATATAAAAGCTATTGGTCTTCGCTCAGAGATAAACACATGGACTTCTCTCAGAGAAGAGCAATTTTCTCCCTAGAAGAGCAATTGGTTTTCTCCCATATAAGACCATAGACAAATGAAAATATAGACAACGAAAAGTTAGTTTTGTCTTTTTTTCCAGGTGGCTCTCATCATGTTTTGCATAGTCAACATGCTGATTTACGCGTTCAAGCCACTCGACTTCGAAAACACATTTTATCTTTTTTCAAGAATTTCACTGGAATATTCCCATATTTTTCTATGTCATCACGTACTTTTCATATTTCTTTTATTATGAAATAATTTTCAACTGACAAATATCCTACAGTTTTTGTTATTTTTAACATTTTTGAATTGAGTGACTTCAAAATTCCCACTCAAACCCCTGAAACGATATGGACGACATCTGCTGATCCGATTTTTTTCGAAGATAAATGGTGAGAGCATTTCGTTGTCTATATTTTCATTTGTCTATGATAAGACCCATTGGTCTTCTCTCATAAATGAGTAATTTATGTTATCATGAGAGAGAAATTCATATTCTCATAGGAGAGAAAAAAAGGAAAAAATTCCATCTCCTGAATTTTCTCTCCCACGAGATTTTATGTTTTAAGAAGCAATCGTTTCCACGAAAATCCTAGAATGTTGCAGAGGCCACATAATCTCATATATCTCTTATTTTCGTCTGAAATTTGTATCCCTTTATATCTGTTGAATTTATTTCAATTTTCATTCCATTTTCTTGAAGTTATTCTCACATTTTGATTTTCTTCATGGCATCCCTTCTGTTACAAACTTTTGTTAAATATCCTTTATTTCCTTCACTCGATTTGTTAAGCTTAAAAGGATTTCTTTGAATTTCTGTTTCTGTTCTTCCCATTTGTTCGAGTTATCCTTGAAATCCTTTTGTTTTTCTCCTTTCCCAACGAAAAATTGATTGTTATTGACAGTCGCTTAAGTCGCTGTAGGTGGGATGGGGTGGTAGTTTCATTTTTCGTTCAACTTTTCCTGAATTATTTTCAATTTTCTTTCGATTATTTTTTTGCCAAAAAAGGAAACTTGTTTGTCCTCCCGAGAGAGATTTTTTTCTGCTTAACTTATAGTCCACCTTAGGCTACTTGCTAAATGATAAGGGATTCCCTAAAGAAAAAAGAAAAAACAATCAGGGGGTTGGTATGCCCAAATTGTTTTTTCACATGAATTCATTTTCTGTGCGGTATTTAAAGTATTTACTTTTACGAATTGTGCTAACAATGGCTGCAGGCGTACAATTTTAATAAAATATCCAAGTAAATATGCAAAGCGATTGGTTGGCAGGATGTAGAGGCTGAGCATGAGGCTGTTTCCCATAGAAAAAAGAAGAAAAAAATATCCTCAAAATTTAAACTATTTCATTAATTGTTGGATATTAAATTAAATCCTAGAAGTATGCAACAGTTTTTGTAGATACATGCATTATGCCCAAAAAAAAAAAGAATTTTCATATATTTCATTTTGTCTAGCAGCCTATTTCTGCAATTATTTGCTAATATCTAAGCCTTAGGGTGAAACCTCCCCCTTGATCTTTTCATGACCAGCTTTTCTGAGAATAGCACGCAACAAATTGTTTTGTCCCCCAAGGCCAAACCATTCCCCTATGTTGTTGAATAAGTGATTTACCATAAAAACAATTAAGCTGATTGGAAAAATATATTTGACATTATATCCTCAATAAATCCCTCCCACCTCTCTCATTCTCCATTATTCATATTCATTTCATTGTTTCCTCATATGCCTTACGGCAAAACGTTCTCTTTGGTATCCTGTCATTATCAATAATGGTAACGGCATCAAATTACACAGCTAAAACAATTTTTATGTTAAATGATTTGTGTTAATATTTATTTGTTGAATATTTTTTTCTCTCTCTATTTTCTTTTCATATTATCCTGCCTAATCCTCCTGATGCCACCAAAAATCTCCCCGTCCTCCTCAATATATGTGTGTTATGAATGTATTGATGTACTGCTCTATTATATGTATGTGTGTGTGTTTGAATGTTAAATTCCACCAATACTAATACTAGAACAAATTAATTGGTCAGAATTTTTGCCACCACCACCGGAACATCCACCACCAGTACCCTCATCGTGTGGCTATACACCAGGGTCGCCACAGTCCTCGCGAAAAAGTTCGAAGAGCGGTGGATCGGGGATTTCAACGCATCAAAGGTAAGAAATTAAAAAAATAAATGTTTATAATAAAAATAAAATAATAGCAAATTATAACTACGAACAAAAAAAATAATAATATATAATAAAATAATAACAATATTAGTAAAAAATAATAATAAAGAAATAAATAAATACAGGAAGAATTTGACAAAAATGATATTTTACTTATTTGATTAATTGTAATAATATAATATTAGAAATAACTATGCTAATATTAAAAATATTTAAAATAATAATAAAAACTATAATTATAATAAAAATATAATATTGCAACTAAATCATGATAAAAAATATAATAATAGTAATAATAATAATAATAATAATAATAATAATAATAATAATAATAATAATAATAATAATAATAATAATAATAATAATAATAATAATAATAATAATAATAACGATAATAATAAACATAATAATAATAAAGAGATAAATAAATACAGGAAGAATTTGATAAAAATAATATTTTTGTTGTTGTATATTATTGACCTGTTATAATTATTTTACTTATTTGATTAATTGTAATAACATAATATTAAAAATAACAATGCTAATATTAAAAATATTTAAAATAATAATAATAATAATTATAATAAAAATATAATATTAAAAAAATAATGCAACTAAATCATGATAAAAATATAATAACAAAATGGCAAGAATTATGATGATAATTTAAATAATAATAAATATAAAAATAATAACAGTATAATAATAATAATTAATTATCACAATAAAAAAAGTAAATAACATAATAATAACAACAAAATTCCAAAAAATTATATCAATATATAATATATAATATATAAAAAATGATGCAACCATTAATAATAATTAAATCATAATAAAAATATAATAATAACAAAACGGCAAGAATTGTATCAATAATGTAAGTAATAATAATAGTAATAATAATAATAATAATAATAATAATAATAATAATAATAATAATAATAATAATAATAATAATAATAATAATAATAATAATAATAATAATAATAATAATAATAATAATAATAATAATAATAATAAAATAATAATAATAATAATAATAATAATAATAATAATAATAATATTAACAATAATAATAATAATAATAATAACAATAATAATAATAATAATTAATATAAAAACGGACCCTCAAAGATGGTGCATATTGTTTTTAATCTCAAAAATATTTATTTATGTAAAAAATATGTTTTTTATAATAAAAATAATTTTAAATTTTCCTTCCTCTATTTGCTTTTCTCTTAGCGCCCTGAATTCATCCATACACAGCAGCTCATCGGGTGGCTTCTCCACCTGGGGCATGGCTCCGCAGTGCGCCGCCTCGGCTGGTGCCCGCCCTCCACAGGAGAATTACTACAACAATCCCTTGCCATGTGTGGGAAGTACCCAAAATCGTTATCAAATAACTCCAACGGGACAGCATCCTCCTCCTTTGCCTCCATATTTTCCGCCCGGAGCTGGTGGGACGGCACAGCTACCACCCCGCAATATACATATCCATTATCCAGCGCCCAGACATGCAATGAGTGAATATCAACCGACCGGTACGCACAACTCGAGATGTTCGAATGGAAGGTAAGAAATTTTCAGCAAATTGAAACTAGTCTCCTTAAAAAGTGTTCTATGTACCAGACCTAGAAATCTTCCTTTTTAGGAAAAGACGCTTTGTAGGTTGTCAACACGTAGATAAATATATTTTAGTGAAGCGGTCCTATTAAAGGTCTTCTGGGAAAAGAAGGTCTTTCAGAAGTCTTCTTTACATAAAATATCGTCTATAGTTCTGCCATACTGATGTTCTCTGCCATACTGATGTACTGTTAGAAATCACTAAAGGTTAACTTTAACTTTTTTACCGCCCAGACACCTTCCAGAGGTCTATACATAGAAAACTTTTCAGAAGCTTTGGAGGATTGTACATAGCAGACTTTTCTGTACGTACTAGATCCTTGCATGATTGAGGACTTTTCAGAGATCAATCTGTAAGGTAATCATCTGTGCAAAAATGTACGCTTAAGAGTTTCTATACAAAAAAGTGCTCTCGAGGTTTTCTGAGCATTGAATAGAGGACCCTCGGGTCAGCCTAAAGATCTTTACATGGGAAAATAGCTTTCAGAGGACATTTTAAACAGAGCCCTTCCATATGTTTCTAGAAATAATATGGCTTTGAGGAGTTTCATATTTAAACTCTGTTTAATCTTTACTTAGAAGACATTCCAGAGATCTGTAGGTAAATAGCTTATTTGGAAGGCATATTCCATTCATAGAAATCCATGTTCTGTGCATGAAATGCCCTCTAGTGGTCTACTGGGCATTCAAGTTTTATACACTTAAAATACTTTCTACATAGAAATGCCTTTTGTAGTTCTTTTATTTGAGCTGAATGGGAATTGACTGATATATAGTCAATGCTTAGGTAATTCGAGTTATTTGGGGCTCGATTTACTCCTTGTAAAAACTGTGGGTTCAGTTTTTTGTGCGGTTCTCCTAATCTTCGACATTTTGAAGATTTCGGGCCGACCTTTCAATATTTAGTTGTTAATTTTTACAGGCTAATGTTTTTAACGTCTTTAAATTTTGTACAGTACTGGTAGTCTCGCAGCCATTAGCTTCCATATAGGTACAAATACTACTTAATATATAAAGCATGCTTTTAGGCTGCTAACAAATTCTTTAGAAATAATAGCTTAGTTTTGATATATGGACAATTTTAACAACATTCTTTTTTCCCCGTTTCTTTCAGAGCCTGTACCAGCTGTGATGCTTTAGCTTCACCCCTACAGCCCCTGCCTCCACCCGGTGAAGGTTGGTATCAACCACTACATACATCTCACATGCCACCAAATTCCTCCGCACATCAAATCTATCAATGTTCCTCCGAATGTTCAGATCATTCACGTACCTCCCATACAAATGTTCCCCACGGACATCATCATTCCCATGGCCATGGTGGCCACAATAATCATGGTCATAGTCATCATGGTCAAACAACGCCTAATGGTCAGGACACAATGCGTTCGGAAAGCAGCACAGAAAATGGTGGTAAATCCAGTGGACATCGATGTCACAATAAGTCACGATTCCCCGAAATCATGGAGAATGATCATCAATTACCCAACAGTTCGGCGGGCTCCTGCACCTATGAAGTGCTGGGCGAACCAATGCGTAATTGCAGCGAATGTTGCAGTAGTTCACGGGAGGGTGATACATGCTCCTGCAGTGAAGGTTCCTGTTTATATGCCGAGGCCGGTGAACCAGGTATGCCGGCAAATAATGGTGGAGGTGGTCCACCACCACCGCCAGCAATTCCCGGTAAACTAATGGCGCAAAACAATTGATATGCCGCCTGTATGTCGGCCGTAACGGCAGCATCAACGGCCACCATGGACAATGGTGGCGGTCTGGTAACTGATGTTGTCATATATTTTTAGTGGCCCTTAAGTTTTTAGGAAAGTTAAAAAACAATTTGTAAAAAATTAAACCCCCTAACCAACTAAAACAACAGCCAGCAAACAAACAGGAACTGTAAGTGTAAATTTTTGCGAAACCTCTAGTTGGTAAGCTTAGATATTTCATATTATTATGGAATAGGTACACATAATACAACATACCCTATAAATAGTTTATTTTTCAAACGGAAAGCAAATCGTATTAGCAATTCCCGTAACAAAAGAACATAATCATTTGTAAATTTGACAAGCATTGAGATTTTTTCGTAGCCATCGAATAGTAAATTATTTTAGTAAGATAAGATAAGGAAACATAGACATACACATATACACACACCCACAACCGAAATTTTCGAATGAAATTGTCAAGGAATGGTCCTAAATTCTACAGCCATTAACCACAAACCTCCACCTAATGACATTCAAACAAAATTAAGGCATTTATAAAATTAAATATTATTTACTTTTTTATTTTTTTCTTTTTCTAACATTGGCGGGTCAGCCAGGCCACAATGTGTAAATGGCGTGTTTATTGTGAATTTTTCTTGTTGGGAAAGCCAAAAAAGAAGCAAAACCCCAAAAAATGCAGTAACTCTTTTTATATTGTAAATTTTTCCCTAAGAGCATTCTCCAAGCCCAATGTTTCGTATTTGAAATGCTTTTCCTTTTTTTTTTTGTTTTTCATTTCTGTATTCAAGGTTCGCTGCATTTCCTGTTGGTGGTCTTTTGAAAAATTACCCCCATTTTAGCTAGGCTCCTTGCAACAATTGCATTTGGAATTGTTAAATAATTTACCTGTGGCTGCATTCGTTTTTCCACTTTTGGGTTGCCATTTGTAAAAAAAGTTCGGAATGTTTTGTGTCACGATTCCCATCCTTTGGGGGGTTTGTTGTTGTGTTATGTTGAACTCAGGCAACTATTGTGGGGGAACTATTTTTCTTTGACGATTTCTCTTTTTTGGTTTTTATTTTGTCGTATTTTTATTTGCATTAAAACGACAATGTTAATGGTTTTAATTTATGTTCATTTAAAACATAATTTCATAATGAAAATTGAAACGAAAGGCAAACAATTTTATGATGCAATTGGGAGCATGCAATGGCTTTTCAATGGAATTTTCGTACAACGTTTGAGGAAGTCATAGGAATGCTTAATACCGAAGTTTTAAAAGAAATAGTCTAGTCTTTATCTTTCTAAACTTTATCAAACAGTAACCTTTAGATATTTTCTTGGCATAGTTTCCCTTCGAATTTTAACAACTCCTGAAAATTAGACGCAATTTGTAGTTTAAAGCAGGATCCATTCAAAAAAATCAATTATTAAAAAAATATGTCATTGGGAAGTATGTGATTTATAGACAAGTATGTGATGCACAGACATTGATTTTCACCTAGGATATTTCTTACTAAAAATGGGATGCATCGTTCTACGTTTAGTTATAGCTCCCATTAAAAAGTAATATCTGATTTTTTCTGCAAAATTTTATCCTTAAATAAAAAATGGCTTATGTTTGACAGTGTGTAGCCTCTCCCAGTTGGTAGACTCGCATGAATGAAAAAGTTTCCAGTATAGGTCTACTATTATGTATGGGCCTAATATAGCCTTCCGATTTATGGTATATGGCATTACCGGCTTTAAAACCACCCGTTCAGTAAAACCCAACGAGTCTGTAAGGAGAGACAATCTCTTAAAAAATGTTTTTTTCTGTATTCCATCTTGACATGTAGCTTTCAAACTCCTTCTGATATTTGGTATTTTGAAGATTTCAATCCGATTTCTCTCTAATATCTTTGGCTAAGTGTACGAAAACTTCCCTTAAAAAAGGTAAATGAGATTTCATGACCCATCATGCATATCAATAGTTACTGAATGTTCTAATACAACACTTCTAACTTCAACACTTGGTGTATTTTATCATTTTCCATCCCTGGTTATATTAAACGAAAACAGTTAATGAAACGTAGCATACTTTCAGGCTCATAACATTTCATCGGTACAGGGATTCATAACATTTTGTTTTTTGGTATTGAATAACTTTTCTGTGGGTAGAGACATTTTTATAAGGTTTCTTCTTTTTGTTATGTACCAACCTGGAATTTTCGGTCAATCAAAGAGCATTGAAATATGCATGCTAGTTACTGAGAAATTCTAGCCCGTGAAACGCGCCATGAAATATTGTGTCAAACTTTTTTGTTTATGTTTACTTTCAAATATTCGAATTTCCATCAAATTCTTTATCGCTGTACGAAATTTCAAAATATTCTCTTTTATATGAAATCCATATTCAGAACTCAAATTTTTGAGTGTTTCTCATGGGATACTTTGCGTGTGTTAAGTATCCTTATGATTTTATTATGCCCTACACCTTGGAAAGAGCGTATATTAACTTTTGCCATTCCGTTTGTAACATCCCTAAAATTTGTCGTAGGCCCCATGAAGTATATATATTTATAATCAGCATAAAATTCTAAGTCGATTTAACGATGTGCGTCTGTATGTCCGCCTGTCTGTTGAAATCACTTTAAGGCCCACATTATTTGACGTAAAGCGTCAAAATTTAGCAGAAGAATTTGTATTGTGTCTTGGATGGTTGGAATTGAAAATGAGATCAATTGGTCCACGTTTTGGTATAGTACCCATATAACGGTACCTCCCGATATTTTGATGATTTTTGCCATATATTTTCACGGATTTGTCTGAAATTTGGTATTTGTAGGTCATAATGGGTCCTAGTTCGTTTTGGTATAGCTCCCATATAACGGTACCTCGCGATATTCGGTATTTTGATGATATTTGCCACATTTCTTCGCGGATTTGTCTAAAAATTGGTATTAGTGGGTCCTAAGGGGTTCTAGCTCCGTTGGCGAAACATTGTATGCATAGGTCCACGTTTTTGTATAGCCCCATATAGCGGTACATTGTGGGTCATAATAGGTTCTAATATTTCCTTTACCCTAAGGTGGAGGGCATTAAAAGTTCGGCCCGGTAGTACTAATTTTTTTTACTGTTTTCTTATGGCCTTTACCAGACATAGAGGGGTATATTAAGTTTGTCGTTCCATTTGTAACTCCTTGAAAAAATGATTTTAGACCCCACAAAGTATATACATTCTTGATCAGCATAATATTCTTACTCGATTTTGCTGTGTCCACCCAACATTGCAAAAATCTTTACATATGAGCTCAAGTTTTGTTGTAGACGCGATATTCGGTATTTTGATGATTGCATACTTTTCACCGGAATTGTTTCAAATTTGCTATGTGTTGTTTGCAATGGTTATAACCTCCTATGACAGAAAATTGCTTGAACAGGTTCATGTCTACGTATAGCTCCCATATATAATTGTATCTAAAGATATTCCGTATTTTGATTATTTATATTGCACTTTTCACAGGAATTGTTTCAAATTTGGTATTTGATCTTCGCAATGGGTACCTCTTCCTACGACAGAAAATTATATATCTAGGTCCACATCTTCGTATATCCCCCATATCTTCCGATATTTGATATTTTGCCGATTTTAGAAACCTTTTTCAACGGAATCATCTCAAAATTGGTATTTGGAATCTACAATAAGTACAGAAAATTTACCATACAGGTCTACGTTTTCGTATAGCTCCATTGTGTCTGTACCATCCGATATTCGATATTTTAATAATTTCATAGGCCATTCTAGAATTTTTGAAATTTTGCAAGTTCCTTCCGTATTGTGGAGGGTATTAAAAGATCGGCCGACCTTAGTTGTTTACTTATTTATTCGACCCGACTTTTTCACCGAAACCTATTTCTCCATTACCAGGTCATGGAAGGGACTCAATTCCTCCCTTATGCTTTGTTTCTTAGGATAATCTCAACTTTATTACTCCTACTTAAAAAGAAATATAATTGCGTACCCTCCAAGATGTAGCTTAATACAGTGACTGACACTTCAAGAGTATTCCTGACGATTTCATTTCTGAGTGACCAAAAGTACGGACACTAACTCAGTCACTGTGGAGATATCACTTTCTGTCATTAAAGAAAGCCAAAATTGGTGGGCAGAAAACAAATACCTCCGCAAGGAAGGGTTTAGTTATTCACGACGGATCCAAGACTTAAGCATACTTCAAGAGGAGTATAAAGGGAGGAGATTAGGAAAGCCAAAATTCGCGGACAGAAAGCAAATACCTCCGCAAGAAAGGATTTGTTTAGACACGACGGATCCAAGACTTAAGCATACTTACAGGGGATTTTTGAGGGATTAATTTTCAAGTGACGCAGGAGCTTTGGACACATCTTGGCCTTGCCAAGGCATGGTGGCGCACAGAAAACAAATACCTCGGCAAGGAAGGATTTGTTTAGACACGACGGATCCAAGACTTAAGAATACTTCAAGAAGAGTTTTGAGGGATTCATTTTGACGTAGGAGCTTTGGACACATTTAGGCCCTGCCAAGGAATGGTGGACCAAAGAGTTATGAATAAATTAAAGGTGTTCACAACGTGAATTTGTGGAAGCACCAAGAATTACGAATATTTTAAGGGCTTGTTTAGAAACCGGGGATCCCAACACCGGCGTTACCAATACTGAGAAGAATTCCAAATTTTCGAAGGAACCAAGAGCCTCATATACTTCGTGGGGATTTCTAAATTGACAATTTCCGAAAGAAAAGAGTTTGAAAAAAACACGAAGGACCTATTAATTAAAATTTCAAGGAAATATGAGTTAGGTTAGGATAAAGGCTGCGTGTTTGTGCAAACAACCACTTTACTCGGTGACCTATTGCTCCATTATGAGTTACTGATATTTCAAAACTTTGCCAATACTATGACACCAAAGTCCAGGCACTTCAGGACTTAAGTATCATTAATTCTAATTAACATTACTTTCATCCTTCTCTTTGGTATAATTGTATTTCACAATTTTGTTTGAATGTTATCAAAGTTGTTTTGTGGTAATTTTAAAATTTCCTTTCCCTCCATCTACAAAACTGTTGCATCTAACTGTGCCATAACATAAACACGAATTTCATAAGAAAATCAAGGACAACAAAATTCTGACATTTGAAGAGAAACGAAATAAAATGAACACACTAGCAAAAACAAAAATAAAACGTGTAAATTTATAGGAAAACAGAAAAGCCATTTCCCCCAGGTGAACAAAAACAAATGGAAACTCAACAAAACTGAACTGTGTTTTTTAAAAAAAATATATATAAAATTTAAATGAATACAAGTTGTAATGCTAACTAATTACAATAATAAAAAATTAAACAAACTACTCTAAAATGACCTTTAATTAACGAAAATTAACATACAAAATATAAAGGGAGATGGAATTGCTTAAGGCAAGTTTTCATCTCCTTTGCGTTTGAACATGATAAAATAATAGTTTTGGATAAATTTTCAAAACAAAATGTAAACATGTTTTTTATGTTTTGTGTGTTTGTTCTGAAAACAATAATAAATTATTAATGAAAATTAAAACAATAAAAAACACCCTCACACACAAACTGCCCCAACCTTTACTCAAGTAAAAAAAATGAACTAATCCAGAAAGCAACAAAAATACGTAAAATATAAAATGCATTACTTTCCGTTATCAGCCACCATTGTGGAGCGGTGATGGAAGCAACAAGAACAAAATACTTTTTCGACCAGCAATTAAAAACCATTATTTTTGGGTTTGCTTTAACAAAAATATTTTTCAAACAGACTTTTTTTAATAAAATAATTAATGAAAAAGAAAAATTATATATAAAAAAACACTGAAAATCAGCAACAAAATATGGTTAGTGGCTCTTAAATAAAAGTGAAACAAAATAACAATTTAGTACGTATTCGAAATAATATTTAAAACAAATGAACTTACGAACTACTTATTAAAATGAAATTTAAGTTAATACAAAGAGGTTAGGTGCAAATGTGGGAGGGGGATAATTTGGCTGGGAACAGTGGTATGTGAATTTTAAATTAATTTCTTTAAGGTTTTTTTTTAAGATTTGAGTAGGCATTCGAAAAAAATATAAATTTTAAATTAGAAAAAAATTTTTTGAAATTAGACTACAAATCTAAATTTTTTATGACATTAAAGAGGCGAACCCATCAAACTTCATACCGGAATTTTTAAACAAACCTGTCATTGTTATCTTAAACTTCTTCTGAAAAATTGTACTGAGACGTATAAAAAACAAGTTTGTTGTTTGCCTAAAAGTATGCTTAGAAATGTGAAAATTAATGCTTTTCCCAAACTTCATTACTTTTGAATGTCACAAAACTTAACTTTGTTATTCCGTTTGTAACTCCTCGAAATATTCATAATAGACCCTACAAAGTATATATATATATTCTGGATCAGCGAAAATTCTAAGGCGATGTGATGTCCGTCCGCCTGTCTGTTGCAATCACGCTTTCTTTCAATCGAATTGAGATAGAGGCCTAAAATTTTGCATACATGCATAGTTTACCAGTTTGCAGGTTAAGTTCGTAAATGGGCCATGTCGATCCACGTCTTCGTATAACACTTATATAACGGTATCTCCCGATATTCGGTATTTTCATGATATTAGCGATATTATTTACCGGAATTGTTTCAAATTTGGTATTTGAAGTTCGTAAGGGGTACTACAGCCTATGATAAATTTTGTAAGCATGTCCACGTCTTCAAGTTTTTTTTTGTAATTTTTTCAAGTTCCTTCCAAATGAAGGAGGGTATTAAAAGTTCGGCCCGGCCGAACTTATATACTTTTTTACATGTTATAAATAATTTAATTTCTAAAAATCAAATACCACTGTTCCTAATACCTTCCCTCTCCCCAAAATTTAAATATTAACCTCTTAACTTAAATTTTGTACTACATATTTAAAACTAGAAAAAAAACTAAAAATGTACCTGTGATATACATATTTCATCGTGTTTTTAATTATAATAGTTATTATAGTAATTAATAATATTTTGTTTTTTGTATTTTTAATTTAATTTTTATATAAAACATAACTCTCCTTAATTTGTTTTTCAAGTTCGTTTTTTTTTCGTTTGTCATAATGTTCTCAAATATTTTAAGTTGAAATATTTTTAATATAGTAAATAAAAAAATTAATAGAATAAGGATATTAACATTTAATAACAGAAACAAGCAAAACAATACGAAATCGAAATTATTAAAAAGTTTTAATACATGGAAGCGAAACAAAACTAATAGAAAAAATATGAAAATTGCATAACAAATTTCCAATTAAATGGCATTTTCTGATAACTAAATTTAAACTTAATTAGAGAATATAAAAACTAAAATAAGTTATAAATTAAAAAAATAAATCAATAAAACAAACAAATTATACTAAAAAACCAAGGCATTTATGTTAATTTAAGCATAGCCATTAAGTAAATAATAATAATAATAAAAAAACACAAAAACAATTTGTAAATATAACTAAATTTTAGAGTAATTTATTACAAAAAATAAACTCACACAGACACATGATTAAAAAAAAAAAATAAAAACAGAATCAAAATTACTTACTAGAATTAGAAAGTCATGTAAACAACATAAATAACAAACAAATAATTCCCTTTTGTGCTTTCATTTGTAAAAAAGGTTGCGTTTCATAAATAAATCCCCAAATCACTGTAAAACAAATTTTTTGTTTAATTTCAAATTTTTTGTTTTTCCTTCAAAAAATTTTCCAATTAAATTTGTAATTTAATACTTTCATCCCCTACCACTTACAAACCAAATTTGTAATTTTTTTATTTATCCATAATTAAATTTTATTGATAAAAACACACACCCACACACATACATGCATAAATAAATACAAACCATGAAGTATAGACTGTTGTTTGTTTAAGGCCATATTATTATTATTATGATTACATGATTATTATATACGATTATAAATATATATATATATATATATATATATATATATATATATATATATATATATATATATATATATATATATATATATGAGGAAAAAAAGAGAAATACATGTATTTTTAATTGTAACATTAATTTAATTTTTATATAAGCGCTCTCTTTAAAGATATATATAAATAATATATATAAAAAATAAAAAACAATTATAATAATATGAAAATTAAAAAAAGAAAAAAATGTGGTAACAACATTGTGTATAAACAAAACAAAAAATATTCAAATTCAATAAAGAAAAACATTAGTGTTCAACTGAAAATAAAAAAAATCTGTGTCTTTTTTTTTAATACCAATTTTTAATTTGTGGTATATATATTTGAAATACTGGAATCAAATATAAGCAGAAAAAAGCGTAAGTTCGGTCTGGTCGTACACCACTTGGAAGGAATTTGGAGATTTAAAAAAAAAATAAATAACAATTAATAATAAAAAAAATAAATAAATAAAATACCATGAAAAATATAAATGAAATAATATGATAAATTATAAAAATACCGGATATAAGGAGTTACCTATATCCCTCATTTTCAATACCTAAAGTCCTGCAGACCAAACAATTTTGTATGGGAACAAATGCGAATAATCCGTTGTAAAGTGGACCGAGCCATGCCCAACTGCTGAGAACGGCGTTTTTGGGATGTTCTTGGGGACCTCTCAACACTGGCTCGTACGGCAGCGACATTCTCGGCCGATCGCCTTGGTCGACTTTTATATGGCCTCTTCGGATTAGAAAGAGCCTTACCAGTCGAAATTTTTTCGTATAAACGCTTAATGGTGTTCTTAGAAGGCGCACTTCTCACATTTTTAATGTTTTAAAAGCACGTTGAGTTTTCACAATTGACTTCTTCTGTTGAATGTAAATTTCAACTATTTCAGAGCGCTCGCGTGGCGTGTATTGGTTCATGGTAAAAATCTGCTAGGACTGACGCTTCAAACGCGGTATGTGATGTGACATCTCTGTCAAAAATTATGGCGTTGCCAGATGGGTCCGTCGAATATGGGCAACCCTGTACTTCAATTCACTCGGAAGCTAGAGTGAATTCCACAGACGAACGGACAGACATACGGAAGGATGGACAACGTTAAATGGACATGGAATTTAATGTTGATCAAAAATATATATACTTTGCAGGGTACTATGGTGAAGGGTATAAAAATCACAGTTTAGAAGAAAAATTGGATAACACATAAATTGATGTTGTGTTAATTCTTGATTCTACTGCTAATTCCGTTTTCCAAAATGTGGCGAAAGAGTTTGGCTTGGGTCTTAGGCAAGTTGGGGTACGATGAAAAATATTGGTTGAACAGTCTCGTTTCTGAATTACACGTGCGTCTGGCGTACATATATGTAGTTGCTAAATCATATTTTCATCAGTATGACTGTATGAAATTATTAAAAAATCAGGTGTCACCATAACAATTCTGTACTTTGATATGATCGAGATACTTATTTCACTTGTGCTCGCCGACTAGTTTAATCATTTATACTGTCAGGTCTCAGACTCTGAAATCATTAGACTTTGTCCGATCAAATCGCATCAAAATTTCTTATTTAAGATATTTGATCAGCAGGAATTCACCAAGAGATTGGAGCAGTGATGTTGAATTCTCTGAACTCTCTAAGAAATTACATTGCAGAGTTTATAGATTATAAAATCCGGTGATCTGAAACAAATAAAATGGGCTGTCAGGTTCCACCACAATTAATTTCTATGTTTAACTTTGGCAGACGCCGACCCACGTTGTCATTGTGATCAAAAATCTCTTTTTTTGTCGGTTGGGCCCCCTAAATGCTTTCGAAAGGCATTTCTGGCTACGTCGATGCTGGCAGATTCACGAAAATTCCTGGTGGACATTGGAAACCCCTTGCCTCATATTTTTAATTCTTACACTTCATCTTAAAGTAATAAAATTTGTTATATCCTCCACCATAGTATGAAGGATAAATCTATATATATATAAAATCGGATAAAAATGTGAAATTTTAAAATTTTCATTCTGACTTTTGAAATGTACAATCGTAATGTTTTGTTTTCGAATGTACATTAGTAGTTTTTTTACTATTTTTATTATAATCTGAGTAATAATTGGGGAGCATAAAACGACAACGGACAAAGCTGTTACTTATAGATTTTATGTATTTATCATTTAAATGATAATATACCAAGTACCAACGGATTTTTCAATATGATAAACTTTTTTTAATTGACTCGATTTCTTGAAAAGTGAAATTTATGGCGGATTATATTGAGGTGTAGTACCGAATTATATGGTGACGAAACTGAATAAATGATGTCAAAATAATTTTTTTAATTTAATAATGTCGATTTTATTTTTTTAA